CCCCCCCCCATCCCCCGCCTGCCTCTATCGACGAAACATCGAAAGATCATCCGCGGCTGCAGCAATATTTGCCAAATAACCGGTTTATCTCCCTTGAGAGAGTAAGATAACGCAGCGCTGTTACTTTGGCCGAAATAAATTTATCGGCCCAACGGCGACCTACCTCGTGTTTCCCCCCCCCCCCATGCGAGGTGATTAAGAGCCCCATACGGGATGCTCGTTAGCTATAAGAAAGTCACCTTTATTCCCTATTCGGGCGTGTACATGTGATACATTTTTTTTTTTTTTTTTCGTTCACTTTTTCTTCTTGCCGGCCGGCTGGGCCTGCCCCTCCAGCTCGGCCTCCTCGAGTTTGCGCCTCTTGCCCTCGAGAGGCAGCTTAGCCCGGAACTTCTCCAGCCCGTTGAGCTGCGCGTCTTCGGGTCTATCGACCAGCAGCCACTGCTCCAGCAGCTCCTCCGGCCGCAACGGCCTCCTCTTGAGCTGGATGCGCCGGGTGGCCGGTAACGCCCGCGCTATTATTTCGGGGACGCGCTCTATGGGCGTGCCTTGCGGGCCCGAGGTCAGCCGCGCCAGGGCGGACAGCTCGAGGTTGCGGTCGATCCCGTGGTAGGCCATCAGGCTGAGCTTGTAGGCCCGGTAGAGCGACGACCGGTCGGCGATCGGTACGACGATGAACTTGTCGTGGAGCTTGGTAAACTGCGCGCTCGCCAGGTACGGCTCGGACGAGGTGGTCAGGAAGAGGACCTGAGTTTATACACACGCGCCGTAGCAGGATGTGCGAACATAAATAGAAAAGCAAAGGAAAGTAAAATACCTGGTCCCCGGGTTTGATGGAGTTGACGATTTTCTGGTAGATCGGGGCGAACCGCTTGGGCTGGACGGGCCGCAGCTCCGCCGGGAGTTTTTTCAGCCACGCGGACTCGCCCCTGACCAGTACGACGGACGGGGCGTAGGCCTTGGCCAGCCGGACGACGGACCGGATGAGCTTGTTGCGGCCGTCACGGCCCAAGAAGCGCCCCACGTGCTTTTCCGGGGTGAGGTCGAACACCGCCGCCTGGAACTTTGGCTCGTGACGCTATCGTTCGACAACACCGTATTATATTGTAACGTGTACCTTGAGCTCGGCGCAGATGGCTCGGGCAAGAAAGTCCTGGCCGCTGCCGGCCGGGCCGCAGAGGCACACCGAGCGCACGAGGGGCGCGAGCTCGTGGACGGACCTTGAGCCGACTGGTAGCACGCAGTAGTCCAGCACGGGCTGCTTGAGGTCGCCCAGCCGGCACTCGGGGCCCAGGGCCACGCTCACCACGCCCGGCCACTCGCTGAGCTTGGCCTCGGGTTCCCCATCGGAGCTCCCAGGAAGCCGTAGCACGCCATCCTCGAGGAGTTCCAGCAGAATCGACAGCTCCTCGGCCTCCTCGAGGGGCGCCTCGACCGGCGCCTCTTTCTTCTTTTTTTGGTTCTTGCTCGCCTTGGCTGGTTTGAGGACGTCAAACTGGGGCGGGGGGGGTGTAAAGGGCAGCCCTTCGAGAGCGATATCGGCAGCGAGGCCGCGGTTCAGCTTGTCCAGCTCCTCCCGCGCCAACTCGTCGGCGACCCCTCTCATCTCCAGCTGGAGTTCGTAGTGCAGGTCCTCCCGAACCAAATCCACGAGCAGGCCCCCGGAGCCGAGAAGCGCGTCGACGCGGTGAGCCCACCGCTCCCCGAACTCGTCGATCGCTCCCTCGAGATGGGCCAGGACCTTTGACTCTGGCATGCTCCAGCCCAACTCCTTCTCTTCCTCCTCCTCCTCCTTCTCCTCCTTCGCCGAAGTCTCCTCCTTCTTGGTGTTCCCTTTGGGCTTGCTATCGGCGGTGAGCCCGGCTAGGTACTCGGCGGGTGTGCGCGTCTGGCCGGTGGCGATGAGCTTGGAGCCGCCGACCTCTTGGGGGGGTAGGGAGTCAAAGTAGCCGATGTCTTCGAACCAGAGGAAAAACCACTGGCGAATCTCGTCCTGGACGTCCTCGATGACTTGGAGCCCGTGGCTCTCTCGGATCTGCGGTGCCCGATCGTTTACCGATCTTTCCCGCGACGGCGATCGCGATACTCGTCAACAGACCTTCCGTCGCTCCGAGGCGATCGTCTCCTCGAGTCGTTGCGCGGCCCTTAGCTGGGCGTCCATGTTCGCCTTCCGGCACGCCTCGCCGTCCCTGAGGAGGTACCCGTTGGGGTTCCAGCTCGGCACGGCCAGGCCGAGTATCTCCAGGAGCCGATCGTGCTTGCGCTTGACCTCGCGACGGGCCACGTCGTTCCGCCACGCTTTTTGCACGACCGTCGCTGCTTTGGCCTTCGTGACGGGGTCTATTTCCGGCGCCGGCACTTCCTCGGAGGCCAACTTCTCGTCGCGCTTGCGCCGCAGCTCAACTGCGCACATTAATATCGAAGCTGTGACTTTTTTTTTTTTTTTTTTTTGTACATTTGTTTCAAGCAACGTTGGAAATGACAAACAATTTCCACGAGTTGTGTGGTTNTCTTTTTTTTTTTTTTTTTTTTTTTTTTTTTTTTTTTTTTCGTCCATCAGTTTCACACGACGGCTATTAGTTAATGTCACCCCTCCAATACCACGGAGAGCCTCGAAAGTCTCGGGGGACCGAGAAACGTCGATGAAATCATCGGACGCAGCGCAAATACACCGCCGGACTCGCGAAACGCGATATTTATGAGCTGAACTTTCACTCGCGTCTCATCCCCGCGTACACTCTATCTCAACTATACATATATGTGTTGGTGAGTATATGTATAATATATGCTTTGCAAAGACCTCATCGGGGCAATGATCCAGAGAATGACCTCGTGCGTAATGCACGCATATATACGCATACATCCAATATTGATGACCGATTGACTTCCGCGACTGCGTGTATGTATACTCTGGGTATTTTTTTTTTTTGTCCACATTAGGTGTACACTTTTTCATAGCCATAATTACCGCGAAATCGAAAAGTGATCGCACGTGCGTGCATAAATTATATCATCAAAAACACGTAGAAAGCCCCGCGTCGAGAATGTATATGTATAACGTTTATGTACATGGCGCGCGCCGTTGTTATACGTTGAAGCGCTACCTTTTTTTTTTATTTTTCGAAATTCTTGGTACTCCTATTATATAGGTGTACTTTTGTTATTGTCGGGCGAAATATTGCATCTCGCGCGTGTACGCGCGTTATACATATATACGCGAGAAAAATTTCTTTTTCAAATGCCCGACTCTGATGGTATACGTTTAACTGTTTGTGCGAACGCGTCGGGGTCACTTTCTCGCGAAAAGCTATACATGGCCAGCCAACTGGCTAATAAAACGCTACTCTCAAGAAAGTCGATTTGCAAACTCGGGGAAAAAAAAAGAAAGAAAAATGGAAAAAGTACAGAAGATGGAACGGCGGAGGGGAGAGGGCAAATTCCGGGCGTAAGAACAGCCTCTTGATGCACTTTTCGCAATATCTGTCGAAATTTCACCGCAGATATGGCGCGCCCCGAGATTAGATTGGGTCATTAAAAAAGCGGCGACGACATCCCGGGGGCTGCCGTAATTTTCGTGATTCCCGGCGCGTCTCGCGGAAAGTGCAAATTACCGCATAATATATGCATCGGTACAGCCCGAGCCGGTGGTATACACGCGAAGCCACCTGATGCAGTTGCGTTCGGTTTCACACGAGAAATTTCGCGTTCGCGTGCAGTGGAGCGACGTATTGCACGAGTTGCAGCCATTAAGTATATACATATAACCGTACCGGCAGCCGTATCCCCCGTGTACTCTCTATATCCGGGTCACGAGGACCGTATACGCGATTGTTCTCCCCTGCGTCGTGCCATCCATCTATATCCTCGCCCACTTCCTCGCGCGCGGCTCCCTTTGTGCTTTGTATATATATATGTTTGTCACACTCGCGACACCACTCAACAGCGCTCGGCTCCTTTTATAATATAATCGTCAATTGTGTAATTGCCATCCTGATGGCCGAGCTTTTATTCCAATACAAGTGCATTTACATGTGCGACACCTACGCTCGAGAGCGACGCACAAGGGATATCGGTTACATCTTTTGCCGTTTCGTGTACATATCGAGCGATCGGCAAACGTCATCTCCGATAGTCCTTTGCGACAGATCGAGGTGTGTTTTGCAACATTGTAACGTACGGTTGAGCAATGAAACTTCCTTAGAGCTTAGTTTTTTTTTCTGAAATTCAAATAGAGTATATAGGTACACTCAATCAGAGAAAAAAAAAACTCAATGGACAAGTCCTCGAGGTACCGACGAAAAGTCGAAATATTTTCACGATATACCCGATCGTTCGTTTCAAATTGATTTTTTTTTTTTTTTTTTTACAAGCTACGTAGGTATATACTATATACGTGACAGCTACAGTCGCGATCGGTACGGTATATCACTGCGAAAATGATGGGAGGAAAAAAGGGAGCGGGAGTCAGCGAGAGATCAAGGCAACTCGTACACCACCATAGCTACAACAGCCTATATAATATTATATACACCTCTTGCGAGCGATGCCAATGCACTTGCACCTATAACCCGTCCGGGTATGTATAATGTACACCCACTTACAAGGTGAAGGATGTTTCTGTATAGTAGACCTAAGATCAACTGCATCAGCCAATATAGTTACATGTACGTTATACGTATGTACACGTGCAAGAAAGCGCGCAAGAGTTAAAAGCGTCGCGAATAGACTTTCTCCTATGTACGCCAAGAGTGGTATAGGTACCATCCTCCGGGGTATTTATATATACGTGTGCGACAGTAATGTTCTGCATGTATAATATCATATTTCTCTCTTCCGATCGACCCGAGTCCCCTCCCCGATACCCCACCGCCCACGGATACTTTGACCTCTCGTCCTGCCCGCGTTCACGTATATATGAATATATAGCTGATGGTGTACAAAAGCCTCGCTCGATGTATATTATACACATTGCCTGTTTGCACCCCTCTTGTCAATAAGAGAGTCCCATGTAAATGTACCTACTAACGCGTCAAAGAGCGGACCAATGGAAGGTTGCACGAAAATCGGAGCCGAGAAAAAGGCCCGGAGGCAGGGAGCTCTCCTACACATGTACATACACCGCGTTGTCCGGTATTTTATATACCCAGTAGGTAGATACTCTCATTTTATAGCTGCAGGAAAAGAAAGTTAATTATATCGCGCGCCGTTGTAGTCCGCAATGCTGTGTATATATACACGCATCCGAGACACTGACCCGGCCATCCGATGGATCGGCCGATTCCCTCGAATTTGTATTCGTTTCTCCTGCGCAGCTCCCGGGTAGGTACATTTCTCCCGGTATTATACACTTTTTTCTCCCCCCCCCCCCNNNTTTTTCCCCCCCCCCCCCCCCGCGAACAAATCTCAATTTTCACTTTCATCCCGAGCACCGGTACATCTACCTGGCAGCCTGTGTACTAGTACGTATTTTTAACGGACAAAGACTCGATATTCGTCCGGGCGTTGGTTCGTACCGATTACTCACGTTTCCCTCGTGCGCGAATTTTTCACAATGGGCCCTCACCACCATCGAAAAATCATCGCTCTATAATCATCAAAATTAACGAAACGTATATTTGTATATATACGGTGATTAAGAAAAAAAAAAAGAGCGATTTGCCAAGGAACGTAACAGCGGGGGTGTTACGCGTAAATTGTGTTGACTCGTGAACGTGTGCAGCCATCATATACGTAACGGGAACGGCGATATTCATTATTGCGCGAAAACGCGGCTCTACAAGTATAATGAAGAAAGCCAAAAAGCAAGCGCGGACGATGTTGTGTCTTTTCCCTCGCCGCGGGGATTACTTCCGCTTTTTCGTTGTGTTTTCATATCCCATCCACGCCAGGGTATGCGTGTGCGCACGTACAAATGTCATCTTTCCGCGGTGATGCGTTCGCGCATTTCTTCGCTCGTCCCCACCTCGGTGCTAAAACTGAAAGTGCGCGGTCTCTCTTGATGAGTGCACACAAGTTGTAAAACGCGCGGACGGCCACTTATCTACGGCTGATGGTCGCTCCGTCGAGTTTCTCCGCCTCCTGTATATATAGCGAAGGTCAGAGCCGAGAGGCTCCAATTTACGGGGAACAATCGATTTCGAACCGATACTCGTTGGCGGGGGCCTCCCGGCGGAACAATGAAATTTCTGCGAAGAGGAGAGGGAAAAAACAACCCATACCGCGGAACCCGTCGCACCGAGAAAGTTGAAAATCGATGCGGCTCTCGAGGTGTTTTGTGGTAGTGGATCGAAGTTTTTGGTTTATGTACACATGATAGCCGATTTTGCTTTTGCTGCGGGAAAAAGAAAGTTTTTTTTTTTTTTTTTTTTTTTCCTCCCCGCGTCGAAATAAGGATCTCACAGCGATGAAAGAAAGAAACACATATTTGTCAACACGCTCGGTTTTTGAAAAGTGCCCATTTAGCGCTTGACCGTGTATACATGCATAATACATCTCGTTGGTCCAAAGAGAAAACGCGTTAAACCCAACCGGGTAGGGGGGCACCACGTAGGCGGGCCGGGTGCGCGGAGGAACTAGAGCAGCGAAAACAAGCCGGCACAGTCGTTTCGGCCACATCATCTCGGGTCACTTTCTTTTATTATGAATGTCTATATTGTAACGCGTGCCAAACGTGTATAAATATATATAAGGGGGCCGTTTATTTTTTCAGCTCAACCTTCTTTATTTACACACTGTGCAAACTATTGATTTTCATCAATCACCTATTGGTAATAAAATAATGGCTCTATACGTACACTGTGGTATAAACGATCGCAAAGTGCAAATAATAATCGCAGAGTCACGAAATAATGTTCAATCGAGGGAATTTATTCTCACGATCCACTCGAACGCCTATATATTTATTATATGCATGATAAACGCAGCGAACTGTTGATATTTTATCGAAGGCGATGCTCGTAAACGTCAGCTGTACGGAAAATTTTAACAGCTCGTAACGCGCATCGGTAATCCGTGCGTTTATATTTGCGGAGCGCAATAATGGCCATCGCGGGATGGAAAGAAAAAAAAAAAAATTTACGAGATTTCGTCCGCTTTCTCCGGGATTATTTTAAACACTCGAGGTGAGAGATGGAGAAAAGTAGCGTGCTATTTTTTTTATTTTTTTTTTTATTTTTGAAAAATATATTCATCTCAAGAGAGAGAGCCGCATGAATATTCTTGGAATGATCGAATTTCTTCGATTCGCTTATTATACGCTGTAGGGTTGGGGGGAGGGGGAACTTTCTCGCCAAAAACGATGTATATATGCATCACAAGCACCGCATATCATCTAGATTTTTAGAAATTTCTTTTTTTTTTTTTTTTTTTTCTCGCAAATACTTTGCATCGGTGGACATAAATACGCGAGCGCTTACAGATTAAAACAGAGTGGAGTGCAAAAGTGAAAACAATCGTGCGTATATGGAAAAAAAAAAAAAAAAAAAGCGTCGATGATGACACGACAAAGAGAGAACTTAGAGAACGCGTTCCAATAAGTTCTATCATCGAGAGAGCCTGTAACAAGTTAATTGCCGCGAAGCGCGCGGCGCGTACAAGTATATATGGACACACACTACTTGTTTCCTGACTCGGCATCAAAGGAAACACACATCACTCGTTAATTATAAGTATACGGCTACATCTTCCCCTTTCACTCCAACAGAGAGAACATCAATAGCTTGAGTGTACACATAATGGATTGCGGGCATCGAGCTATAATTATATGGTGGCACAACGAGCACAGGACGCTACTTATAATAATAATAGTAATAATAATAATAATAATAATAATAATAATAATGATAATGATGATGATAATAATATAGGTGCTCTCGGAAGGAGATACCGATTGACGTTAAAAGTTAAATGGAATAAACGGCCGAGGTTCCGAGAGAGACGAAAGTAAAAGGTATACTTGTAATGTTGTACCCACGCGCGTGGAGGTGTTCTCTCTTTTGCTCGTGTTGTATAACATAAATATAATATAAGTAATACCTGCAAGCGTGTGCCGATGCGACGAGACGCGCGTGGAAAACTCGAGAAAAACCCACGGAATGCGAGCGAGTGCGCGTATGTATTACTTTTAATAGGAGTATACCCGTATACAATACACTTGCGTTGCATTGGAGAGCGGAAGAGGTCGTCTGCATATATATGTGTGTGTGTGTGTGTGTGTGTATGTGTGTGTGTGTGTACGTAGACGGCACGACTATTTTAATTCCAGCCGATCGCTATGGTGGAAAAGTTAATTGCGCGGACTATCATAGCGGGAGGGAGAGAAAGGGAAGGAAGAATCGTAATTTCTCTTATCTCCCGGTCGACGAACTCGCCGTCAACTCATTTTCATTCACCTCTGAACTTGGATATCCCTCGGGTATAATAGGTATATGTATACGATACAGCGACGAGCGTATAAAATCGTCGATCGGTATACGAATCTCCGTCGGATCGTCTTCGTTCGGGACTTTCCAACGCGATAGGGTACTTTGCCGTTGTTTCGACCGTTTTCTTGGGTATAGGTACACGTACTCCCATTATTTTGTAAATAATAATAATATACATATATATACTAAGGGCCATTAAAATCGATCCCTCGATCAATATATACATGTGGTGCATACAATACGCAAGGTACATCATAATAGCACTTTCCACAAACAGAAGATGAAGAAAAAAGTAAGAAAATCCTTCGCTGCAGTCTACATGTTATACCATTTGGCAAAACGAGGGAATATATATATATAAAGAACAAAAACGACAATGATAATAATAATAATAATAGTCTACGTTTTCGCAATTAGCTTCAATTAGCATCGCGAAAGAAATAAAAAAAATTTTTTTTCTTCTAATGGGACGGGTTAAAACAGGGGGGGGGGGCGAATCACTCGGTGCACCGCAGGAAACCGATTAAACATTATTATCATCATTATCATGATTGTCCCTTCCTCCGGCCCGGACCGAGGAATTTTCGTTGCATTCCTCTCGCGATCGCGTGGACGGGTTGCGCCAGAAAGGCACGAAAGACGAAACCATATATACATAGGAATAGGACACATTATATACACGTAACTTGCCGAGGCTTACGGAAATTAAAAAAAAAAAAAAGAAAAGACTCGACACAAAGCGGGCTTAAATAGGATTAATTGTATACATATTGTACTGCACAACGAACAACGGAGGAATAAACTCGTAAAAAAAAAAAAAAAAAAAGAATATAAAAGCGTGCGAGCGTATATTAGATCGTTTGGGGAAGGGGGGCACCCACCGCGTACGGATGGGGCTTTAATTTTAATTGAATCGGCTCTCCGTGTATACCAACACAACCCACCGATATATTGCAAACTATTTCGCCATGTACGTATACGCACGAGCGCAGCTCTCTTCCCGCGGCGAGATTTTGTGTGCCATTGTTGCGCTCGGGGTTTCTCGCCGATATGAGAAACAAACTTTCTACCAACTACCGCTAACGCAAAGGAGCCCTAATTCGTGTACGGATATGTGTGTATATATATACATGTACCCCCTTGTAATACGCGTATACATACGAACAAACAACTACACCGTGCGATATAGTACATATAGTTTGCTAGATGGGTGTCGCTTTCGTCATGGCTGCGTGGTGCATCCTAATAATATACATACAACAAGGTCTTCCTGCAGTTGCGTGCAAAAATATGTACTTACACGCGTGTGCAGGTATGTCCATCACCTCATGGTGTGCAGCTTCCGTCGTTTCGTCTTACGTAATGTAAGCGTCGTCGCAATAGCGATTCGACACCCGCGTAACTCCGGCTCTTCTCATAAACATTTCAAACTCGGGACAAACTGATGGTTTTCGTTGGATAAGTGCCATCGTCTCCGGGGCTATTCTCCGGTGATCTATAAACTCTCGAAAATGCCACCGTGATTGCACGAATAGAAAAAAAACGTACGAAATGGGGTCTTTTCCCGCAAAAAATAAAGATACCAGATTGAAACCAGTAATACGATTTCTTCCCCGAAGAGCCGAGATGTGCTGCCGACGTGTTCCATTAGACCGGGCCATCAACGTGCAACGTCCAGAGAGTCGTAGACGCGATTAACCACGAGGTACTCTCGCTTTCTTTTTAATTTCTCTTTCTACGGTCTCGCGTGTTACGACACACACACACACACCGCATTTAGGTACGTATACATCCCAGCCGTAAATTTGACTCCAAACGCATACTCGCGGGGGCACGTATATATATAGGTCGGCCGGTGCAATAATATGAACGAGCCATCAAGAGGTGCAGTTATACGACGGGAAAGCGCGGCCGATCGTTTTCTTGCCTCGATTTACGTTTCCCAATAGAGAGTTTTTTTCTCTTTTTCTCATCCCTCGAGGGAAGGAAGAAAAGGCTATTTAACCGGCAAACGTGTGCGTTGCAGCTGCAGCAGGCGCGTGCGTCGTTGGACCCGCGTCCCCGGTTGTCGGCCTCCCAGCAAACGCAGATCCTCAGCGACGTCCAGCAGCAGTTCGACGGGCCCGCGACCCAACAGCCGAGCGAGCCGGCCTCCTTGGCCACGGACGCCGGGGCGCCCTTCTCCTCGCTCGCCCGCTACAAGGTCGACCGCAAGAAACCGGGCCAACAGCAGCTCCAGGAGCAACTGCAGGGCCTCCAGCAGCGCGTCCAGCAGCACCAGTCCCAGGGCCCGATCGTCCCGCCCCTCAACTACCAGCAGCACTTTGCCAACCACTTTGGGGACTTTCAGCCCCAACAGCCGGGCTTCCTCGACGAGCCCCGTCCCCAGCCCAACCCCCAGTTGGCCGAGTTTTACGAGAAACAGCGCCAACTCGAGATCCTCCAGCGCCAGCGCGAGCAGCTCCTCCTCGAGCAGCAGGAGTTGCGACGCCAGCAGGAGCTTCTGAGGCTCCAGCAGCTCCAGCTCCGCTCGACCCTCCTGCCCTCGAGCCTCGGCACGCCCTTCCCCGTCTCTGGTGGTCCAGCCACGACCACGCCAACCACAACCACCACCACCACCACGCAGACGACTACGACCAGCAGTGGGGTGTTGCTGTCGTCGCCGACGGCGCGGAAGATCACCGCCTCGGAGAACGACATATTCCTGAGGGCCATTGCCACCCACCAGAAGAAGTACGCGAGCACGCAGAAGCCAGTGGCCAAGCAGTCCCTGGATGAGCACCACCACCAGCAGCAGGACATCCTGGCGCTGATTCAGAACCAGCAGCAGCAGCAGCAGCAGGGCAAGAAGCCCCAGATCAAGCTCGTCTACCAGACGGACAAGCCAACCAAGCAGACCTCGGACAGGGAGTTGCTGCTGCGCCAGCTCAAATTGGCCCTGGCCCAGTCGGGGACCGACGACCGCGAGCGCAACGTCACGACCAGAGACGTCGTCCTGCCCAACGGCAAGCGGCTCCAGGTCATACACGCGCCCAACGGTTTGCCGTCCACGACCACGACCATCAAGCCGGCCAAGGCGGTCCTCGACGAGCTGACCAAGGGCGTGGTACCCCCAGGGGCCGACTTTGAGGTGTTGCGCCAGAGCAACGACGGCAAACTCGAGGACCTCGGCAAGAACCCGCTGCAGAACCAGCCGGCCAAGAAGGTCACCTTCGTCGTCCTCGAGGAACAGCCCGACGGCAGCTACAAGGTGAGCCTATATTTATACACCCGCGGGTGAGATAAAACCATCAACGGGGTTTTTTCTTTTTTTTTTTTTTTTTCGCGTGCAGGTGCAAGGGGTGAAGGGCAACGTGGAAAAGGAGGCGGGGACGGACGTCGACTCGATAGTCGAGCGCATCAAGAAGGGCGAGATCAAGCTGCCGCCCAGCAGCACCACCCAGCGCCAGGTTGCATCCTCGACTACGAGCACGACGATGACACCAACCACCACGACCACGACGGAGCGTCACTCGACGACCTACAGGACGACATTTAGGCCGACCCTGCCGCAGACGAACCGCGGGCCCTTGGTCTCGGTGTCCCCGAACTCTGTCGCCTCGTCCGACAAGTACGTCACCTCGGCCTCGTCCATATCCAGCCACGCGCTCAACTCCATCTCGACGACGGCCAAGCCGAGCCACCAGCAACAACTCGGTGTTAACCACGTGACTCTGAGGTATCCGTCGTCGTCGCCGTTCCCCGTCTCGTCGAACGGCCTCCTCGACACCAACGAGATATTCGGCCCGACCACGCCAGCGAGCAACTACTTTGAGTACAACACGAGTCCCGCGACCTCGGTGGTCTCGGCGTCGGCGAGGCCCACGAGCATCAGCCCCAGCTACGCCAACTCCAAGGAGAGCCTCTCGAGCCTCCTCAGACGGGAGGGCCTGTTCGCCATGGCCAAGTACCTGAGGCAGTCGGGCCTCGACACTGTACTCAACGAGACAGGTATATAGTACATACACACGTACATTAAATACATGGTGTTGTTGTTGCACGCGTGAGCTCATGTCGGAAAAGTCGAAAGCCCGGGCCAGGTGCACTTTCTAGCATTACGCGAGGTATCTTTGACTACGTGGATCTCGTGTATAGGATACGCGTATCGATTACACATCGGCATCCGCGATCTTTTCCTCCAAAGCGCTTCTGCACGTACACTGGGGGTTCTCACGCGCCAACTCATATAATATACACGGGAGAGTTTCATCAGTCGTTGGTGTTGTTATTAGGTATATTTATGTACCCATCGGTGTGCCAAACTGTGTGCACGTGCAGTATATAACGTGTATACATCATACGCAATCTAATTATTCGGCTAATTGTCGGGCAACCAAAGTACCTACTGTTTTGTTTCATTGTCTTGTTATGCATTGGCTCTATACGCATTGTATACCTATAATGTATACTGCAGCTTCGGGAAAATCGTAAACGCTTGAATAATGACAAAGTAGCCGAGGTATCGAAATAATAATCCTTTTGCGCGACTGTACGACGACGTTTTCGCAATGTATAGGCAAAAAATAAATCGAGAAAAGCCGCGGCAGCGGATAAATGCGATAATATACTTGGCTACCCCGCGTGTATCATTCGTTCGATTGGATGGGTATCATATAATTATAAAGGTAAAAACTTTAGCGCCGCTTCGTTACTTCCATCGTTTTGGATAAGTACATGTAAGTATATACATATATACACGCGTGCAAAATCCTTTCTCCCCCTGACCCCCTCTCCATGACACACAGTTTAAGTGCAAAGTACTTGCACACGTGCGGTATTTTTTATAGTTGCAAATCGCATGAGACCTACGTGTGTGTGGGAAAGGATAGTTTTTGCCGGCTCGCTTCGCCCGATCGCCGATTCTCGTTCGAGGAAATCGTTACTCTTATAACTATATGTGTATACCGATATACCCATACTACAACTTTACTTCCGAACGTATGAAATTAGTTTCAGTTTGGACACGAAACCGTGCAATGTATCATACGTATAATATACCGATGACATTGGCTTCGTATAATTTGTAATGTAAATTGGGCACGAACACGAAAAAAAAAGCAGATACAAGTTGTACGTAATGTTTCCCGTATTGTCTTTTCCGTATATATATATTTATACCTATACGAGCGCAAACGATTAATTTTCATCAGTGACCAATTAACCAGTAGTATATACCTGCAGACGCACTCGTTAGTCGCTAAATGATAATACCACCAACCACCGTAGGTATATATAAAATACGAGCTCTCGCTGCTCGTCCACGAGTGAACGCGTGAGAGCTCCAGCATTGCACCGTTGCATTGTTCATTAACGATTATCCAACGGCCGGGTATTGCGTTGGACGTACCTATACATCAAAGTAATACGTGCGCTGTATGTATACTACAAAGGGTTTTTTTTCCTTTCGCAACGTATGATTTTCCTGATGTCGCCTATGAATGGACACATGTATACCTACACAGTTCTTCTTTGTTTTGGCTGATCGTGTTCGAAAAGGTCCTTACACCATCTTCGTGCCCACCGACAAGGCCTTCCGTACGTTGCTCGTGCAGCTCGGCGGGCCCGAGAAGGCCGAGCAAAAGTTCCGCGACAACCCGCGCCTCCTCAGCGGAGTAAGTTACTTGTGTTTACTCTTTATTGTCTTTTTTTTTTTTCTTTTCTTTTTTTTTTTGTTTTTTTTCAAACGCTGTAATATAATAATTATGTACACGGACATATTATTTGCGTTGCTGCGAAACAGTTGTTGCTGCATCACGTCGTCCCGGGGGCATTTAGGATCGACAGCTTGCAGGACGAGATGACCGGGGTGAGTCTCGCGGGTACGCAGTTGCGCGTCAATGTCTACCAGATGCACGACCACGAGTGGAATGACATTCAGGTATGTTTGTATAGGTTCATTTCTTTTTTTTTTCACTAAATGCTATTTTTGCCATTTTACTGCAAGTTAACGAGACAGTTAAGTTTCAAGTGTCGCCACAGTGATTTTTTCAGTGGCTCTAGTTGCAATTTTTTAATGAGCAAACATTCACTTTTACTGTAAATTATGTTTAATAGTATATTTTAAGAGTTTCTCTGGTACTTGAATATTCTTGAAAATTACAATTTCAACGTCAATTCTAATAACATTTATCATGAATCAAATCAAATAATTTATACAGTTTTCCGGAAAAAAGAAAGTGTAACACTTATTTTTATGAGCGCACCTTTAGCGCACGTTCATATACATGAATCAATAGTAAATGAATCTCATGTACAATTTGGTTGTTGGCTCACAATTTACGCTACGATTTCGACCTACTTAAAAATAGTTTTCCATTTGATTATTATATTTAAAACCCATAAATGCGCAGTACTCACTCGATTCGATGTAGTTCCCAAATTATCATGAAATGAAATATTAAAAAAAAAAAAAAATAGTGGATCCAATGAAAATTATACGCAAAAAAAAACAGGTGACGACGATAAACGGTGCCAGAGTGGCGCCCAACAAGCGCGACGTCGAGGTGCCCCAAGGCCTGGCCCACGCCATAGACCGAGTGATGTTCCCCCTGCCCGTGGGCGACCTCGTCCAGACCCTCCAGGCGGACCGCGAGCGCCGCTTCTCGGGCTTCCTCAAGATCCTCCATGCCTCGAACCTCGAGGAGATGCTCTCTGGCGCCAAGACCTTCACCGTGTTCGCGCCCACGGACGCGGCCCTCGCCGAGGCGGCCGTCAAAAACGCCGAGACCCCCATCTGGCAGGAATCGGACGGACCCGACGCTGCCAAGGAACTAGTGCTCAGGCACGTCATTCCCACGACCCTCTACACCGCTGGCATGCGCTATTACCACCAGAAGGACTCGCTCAGGGAACAAGCGCCCATACAGATACAAAAGACCGGCGGTGAGTGCACATGGCATTTATAAATAACAACTCCCTCTTTACGCGACAAGTATACCTACCGTAGTTTTGGGCGCAGTATAGCCTTTAGCTCATCCGCAATCAGATAAGCATCTCCCCGAGAAAGCTGTACATCCTTTTTTTCCCCCGCAATGCATCCGATGACGCCGAATCCAATGGACTTTCTCACGGGGACCGGTCTCTCCCTTGCAATTAGTCGATGGAACAAAAAGAGAAGAAAAAAATCATCAACCTTTGGAGATGCGGTGAATTAGATACGGATTTTCTCGGGCAATAAAATGTCTTTCGGGGGATCGAATTTCTCGTGAGCTCGCCCATACGTGCACTCGGAGCGCGCAAGTGGAACAACAATTTCTCCAAGGCATTTTCGTGGCGTTAATTGTATTTTCAACGTTCGATCGACGTAACAATTAGTCGAGCCGAGGTGAGGGAGAGAAAAAAAATCGGTTTTACTCGGCCAAGTATACACGTATAGTGGGTACATGTACCTCGGAGATAACTTTGCCGAGGAAAAAGATACATAGACAATACTTATGTATACACAGTTGTAAAATGCAGCCAGAGTGTGGAACTAACAATAACCTACTTGCTCACCGGGCGTTTTTCTTTAGACTCTCGCACGTATACACATCAGTTACGCCTCCTCTCGGCCTCATGAATATACAAACGACCATCCGGCTTCGTCTGGATCGCCGTTGGTTTTTTATTGCCACAGACTCGAAAGGCTTTGCTTGCATTTGCCACCCACCTCTGCACTCGGTGTAATTGGGCCAATGTGAAATGATTACTTTTCTCGTGTTTCAGGGCGCATAAGAGTCAACGAGGGACACATCGTCACGTACAACGTCCCTGCGACGAACGGGGTTTTGCACGCTATCGACACGGTGTTGTGAGAGGCTTTCCAACGGAGGCTCTAATCCATAAATTGCGGTCACCATCATTCGATGTTTTGTACAAAAGAAAATGATTTAATTAATTGTAATTGTAAAAAAAAAAAAAAAACAGAATAAGCGCAACGAAAATCTCCGAGGTGTGCGAGATTTCTCTTGGCTGTACCTGATCGAAAGAGAAAGAAGAGAAAAATGCGCGTTGGACGTGACTTTATTTTATACATACGAATGCAGAATAATCAAATCAATTGGAGAAAAGAAAAAAAAAAAAAAGTAAATGCCATAAAAGATATGCGATTCTCTCTGTAGCTCTCGGTGCCTCTCTCTCTCTCTGATGTCTCATCAGGGGACGAGAACATATCCATTGCTGCGTTTCTCGATTTAGCTCGTAGGATTAAATTGTTTCTCTTTTAATAATTTATAGAATACACGATTTCATTCGTACTTTAAAACACGCAAACACTACTTAGTTTCGTAATGAAGTGTGTATTATTTTATTAATAAATGTACAGAATTTTTTTTATTTAACTCTCTTTTTCTTTTTCCTCTGTCTTTTTCTTTTTACTTGCTTTTTAAAGCGTATTTATTTACAACTTTGTACAAATCTACTAAATAATACATAATTTTTTGTAGCTCAACTAATAACTGTTAGTGACGCATGTATAAAAAGCAGAGTTTTACCTAACATCCGGAATTCATTATAAATCCATTACAACTTAATACGGTTATTTTTTTGTAGCTTTTTAACAACATTTCTAGGACAACTTTCAAAGCGCGAACATGCGAAATGAAAATCATACAAATAAATCAAATCTCTAGTGGACGTAGGCATGACAATACTGCTAAGTTTTTTCAAGTTAATTAAAAATATAGAATTATTCGTATAAAATACGGATATGTAAAATTATGTGTATAAATTACGGATAGGGGAGGGCAATTGATTAATAGTTTGTCTTGTATTTTTTAATTTCGACCATAATGTGATGGATATTGGTTAATTGTGGTCGAGCATTGGCAGGTAAGATTTTATGGAATCGGTGGTAGTATTGAACGAGTTGAGTCATGGCTCGCTGAACCAGCGAGGTACCTAAAAGAAGACTGGGAAACGACTTCACCACCTCGCGGTTTATTTCCTCCAATGCTCGTTTCCAATTATTTGTAAAAGATTGAACAAGAGCGAGAGCTTTACCTTCCTGTCTCTTTAGATCTTCGGTTTGTCCTTTCTCTATCAGTACTTCCGACTCCTTGACCAATTGGATGATTCCACCAAAATGAGGACTCAAAATTTCTTCAACGTACTCGGCTGATCTCGCATTCATTTGTTCACGAAAACTTTCAGCCTCTTTTGAATTGTCTCTCGTTCTTTCCTGCAATGGAAAAGTTTTTACTAAGAAAGAAATTCAACTTGAGTAGGCTTGTTATTTACTTGTATTATCATATGTTACCATGAGAACACCAAGAACAAGGTCATAGTTGTTGATGAGAAAAACAAGCTGTCGAGTTCTCTGAGGGAAGACTGCAGCCATTCTAAGTAAGAAACACTGAACGGCTTCTCTTAATTCAGCTAACAGTTGAGTAGCACCTTCGCAAGGGAAACCTTCACCAACGCCAATCATGGCTGCACTGAATTCGGCATAACGTCTAGTAATCTAATGAGCATAAATTTACGAAATTAGAATATTTTGGTTCCACAAGAAGATTCAGATTAAAGAAATCTGACTATTATTTCAAACATACATAGTGGGGCCCGGTTTCTCGAGTAAATTTCATTGGATCGCACTCCTTGATACTTTGAATGTTCATTCGAAAAACGTATTCAAATCTAAAAGAAGGTTAAAAATCAATTTTCATCAACAACTCAGTGTAAAAAGTATTAGATATGTCACCTTGGCCAAATAGCTGAAGTCATATTGTCCCAATACTTATCAAGTGCTGGTACTACTCTCTTGTGGCACATTAGTTGGTACCTCATAACGAGATGTAAGCATAAGAACAATGCTATACAATCGTAAGAGGTATCGACAAATAATTGTAAATTTTTCAACAGTAGACTCAATGTTTTCCCCATGACCTGTAGGAAGATAATTTTAATTTTTCCCGAATTACATTCATTCACGATGCTTCATCAAAAGCAGTATTTACTTGATTAAAAATGTCTAAAGCTTGAGGTCCTCTTAGTTTGAAAAATTCAGTCAAGAACAAATACTCACGACATCCATTATCAACAACAGCATACTGTTCACTTCTAAAAAGAGCTTCATAGTGATACTGAGAAGAATAAAAATAAGAGATGTATTACAATGCCATAGATACAACGCGTTTATGGGAACATTGAACGTGATAACTCACTTTTGTTTTTGACGCAGTGTGAGGCACTATTATAGGAGCTTCTAACTGGGAAGACAAGACTTCACCCCGAGTACCAATCGAGAAAACAGTTCCTCTATGTTTCAAATGAGATTTGTGGAAAAGACCTCTGCTTGCAGTGTCTTCTACTCCCATCAAATCATCTTTGGAAGGACTTTCATCAAACTGCATTTCAAATATAATAGCAACTTAGAAACAATACTACACAAACTATTATTTAAGATAAGATACTAATACTTTACCTGCAACTTTTTCAACCTCGAAGAGTAAGATTTGAAATAAGAGTAGTATATTTTTCCCATTGTATCAATGTACTCTCCACATATTTCCTCGGCAATGTTTCTTTCGTTAGCAAGAATGAATTCAAAAAATAATTTAAATTTCAACATGTTGTTCTGTGGCACTTGAAAATTGGTCATGGGTTTTCTAAATTTGTATATTTGCTCCAGAAGATAAGTTCTGATCTTTGCCATTGCCTTCAACTTTAGTTTTTCCAGTGTATCTTTGACATCATTGCAGCTTTTTGTATCTTTGAAGCTCTGTTCTTTTACGAAATTGATTTTGTGACTGAGTATCTCGAGATTCGTTACAAATTCCGGCTCAACCACGAGACTGTCCATAATCCCTCTATAAACAACAAAATGAGTAAGCAAACAATAAAAAAAAACCACTAGCTCAGACAATGTACAAAGCAAGAGCTTACGCTATGAGATCATCCGAAACTGATATGTCCTCGATGAACTGACTCAGTGGTCCTCTGATGCCCTGCCTATTGGTCAACTGTTGGCTCATGGTAATTGACTTTCGCTGAAGGTGAAGAATTTCCTCGCTTATACTTCCCAAATCAGACTGAAAGCCCATGAGCATCGACTCCATTTGCTGCAAGGACAAAGATTCACATATACCTGCTGATTAACCATTAATTAAACTGACTGCAATATTACAACCTCCAAGATGTTGTCGCAGGCTGCAATTTGATTGTGCAAGCTGGCAATGTTTTCGCTCTCCTTCATGTAATCCTGAATGGACTTGTTCTCGACTTCCTGGAGCTCCTTTTCAATTTGGGCCGAATACTGACGAAGATCCGTGCCAGAATTCAAGACCTCCCGGATAAGGTCGTCTTCGAGGTCCTCCGGAAGTTGGACCTCCTTCTTGAGGGTGTCGTTCTCACCCGACATTGCGCAGTTTTAAGTGATCTCACCTACATTCAACCGATACACTTTTAATGTACTTGCACTAATCTAATTAAATCACATTTTTGACTGTTAATCATATACCTACAAATTAAAATACTGTAAAACAGTATGGTGAAAACTCATTCACACACCACGTCAGCTGCGTGCAGCAAATAACTCCGGTATGGCAATATATTTGTCTTCTGTTACATATGATTTGTTTTGTTTATATATACTTCTTAAAAGGTTAGGTTAGTCCAATGATGCGCAGTATTCATGCGCTCAGGGAAGTACCGATCGAAATACCGATAAATACCGATTTAATTCTCATAGTTGATAACCGATCAACGATCGACGCACGACGCGTTACGAAAGTATACAATTGTATCTCTACCTATATATAAGTACGTGGAGGTAAAAATTTCGGCTGCCATTTTTATTCAATACCTGTACTTCAAAGCTCAAAAATTGAGCCACAGATAAGTAGAGCGCGCTTCTTTTTTATGCGAATTACAGATAGATACAGCTGTAGGGGTGTACATGGTGCAAAATGTATCACCTAACCCTGTGAAAATTGGCACGTATACTTTGCAAAAGTTCAAGAAATCCTTCCACGGAACAATATCATATGATCCATGAAAAAAACGGCAGATGAGCACCCGCACAAGTAACTCATCGGAGACTCCAAGCGTCACCTCCACGCAGACTCCCATAAGGAATCGATCAATTAAAATCCTTCGGAGCTATACATGTACACATATACATGTACACATATATAGTACTCGTTAGATTGATAGTTGGTGTTTATAATAAAAATTCAAACGAAGCGAAGTGGAGCGCGTGCGCTCGCGGACAGGAGGCGAGGAGGCACACACACAAGTTTCAAGTTACGTGTTACACATAGCACCAAGAAGCAATATACACAGATGCAGTGGCGGTGGTAATCAATAGATAAAACTATAGGTATATAGATTAGGGAGCACAGAAAGAGATATAGGCCCAAGAGAGAGAGAGAGAGTCGCAAGTTTTTTACTGACTGATCGAGGCGAGCTGGGGGCGGCCTGCCGACGATATAATACATCGCCTCGGTTTATCCAGCAGTCGTCCGAGTGAAAGTGCCCGGCGTGGACGCAAACGTTTGGCACACCAGCAGCCACCCTCTGCTGACGTAGTTGGGTTTGTTTGATCGACCCTTGTGTGTACACACAAATATATACCATATACACGATGGAGAGCGGCTCCGAGCCCATCAGGAAAACCATGGACGAGAAAAGTTACATTCTCGACGCGAGGAAGCCCTTCGAGGACGTAAGTTTCTTCCACCCCCCCCTCCCCTTTTTTTTCTCCTACACGTATAATTATTCATTAGTTGTAGTTTTCCCGTGCTTTGACACGGATTCTTCAACTAATATCTCTCTCTCTCTTTCTATCTTCCCTTTACCGCACTAGGGAAGATACATGGTCGTGCCCAAATATTTCGCACTTATTACATTGTGCAACAATTGTTATCGTTATATCAAAGACAATCTTTAACCATTACAATAAACATAAATATACGCATCGACAGTTGTTGTCTCCTCGAGGCTTGTTTCGTCGCCGCAAAAAAAAAAAAAATAAATAAATAAAAATATATACAAACATATTGTATCTTATCCATATACGGCCTAGCGATTACTTCACGGCGAATAGGATTTCAATTTTCTCCCACACCTGGTGAATGCACTTGTGTGATTGTTATAAAATTTTATACTCTTTTTGCGCGTTGAATCCACCCGAGTGCGCGAACTTTGTCCCTCGAGTAAAATTACCAACATTACTTACCCAATCTCCCTGTTCTTTTATTATATACCGGGGTGATTTGATCTTTCGAGTAATATAATGCCCCGCGCGCGTTGATTTATTGATGCGCAGAGCGAAACCAACATAATCCAATCCGAACGAGAATATTTTAGATGTAACGATGCGTTGTTGTTGTTGTAAATTGTACATCTCGTGTATTATTCCGCGTGTATGAAGTGTACAGCCAGAGAGTCCGATGTATAACTTATAAGACCCTCGAGCTAATCAATTTTCCGATTGAGACGTACGTTTTTCATAACGCGTAACTGTCACTTGTACTGTGATTTTTTTTTTTTTTCTTTCTTCAATTTCGTTTTATACAACAGCTGAAATTTCCATGCTATAACAAATTATTATGAAGATTAATGAAAATAAGGAAAAGGACTTGTATGAAGAAAAAAAGGTATGCGGCGAAGTCACGTTTCTCGTGCGTTTCCTTTATATTAAATTCCACCGCGGCAGAGCGGTACAATCTGATTTTCCTCGAGCTTTTTTTTTTTCGAGGGACGGTATAGGTATTTCAATATGTACGAGAATAAAAAAAAAAAAAAAAAAAAAANTCTTTGGCGTGTCGCAATACATGCGTGATTGACGAGATGTGTAAGAAAAAAGAGCAACAAAACAAAAAAGCATGGCTCGATCGATATTATAAGTAGTGCTCGTCGCTGTTACAATACATGTATAGATACATGACATACAATACATGACTGCGGTGTGTGAAAAATGCCATGTATATTTTTATTGTACACGCTATTTTTTTTTTTTTTTTTGGCAGCTCTAGGGATACTCATTCGATGTGTATACGTACATATATTATATACATGTGCCATCACAACACGTATATATATGTATATAATATACATTTGTATGTGCACCTCGTGCTCTATATCTATCGAGCAGTGCAACAGGTAGGTATAGATGATACTCAAGGGTATAAGAGAGACATGGTCCGATGCCTCTCCCGATCAATCGTTCAATTCTCTCTTCTATCTCACCTCCTCCTGCTCCTCTTTTTTTTTACTCCCGAAAAGTGCACTTGACACACACACACACATATTCGTGATGTGTTAGCTCTCGAAGTGCCTATCTTGCGACAACAATGAAATCATTCCAATCAAACGATAAAAGGCACTTTAATTATACATGTACCTACACTTCCGATGTACAAATTAAGTGCATAGCCGCGTGTGACTCACATGACACTTTATGTAACATTTTCATTAACAACCACTAATAAGGGTTGACAAATCACTGTGTGAATCTGACACTGCAGGGAGGCAGCCTTGGCTCCGAGGATTCTTTTGACGACATGAAGCGACTAGTTAGGGTAAGACTATATATTATATGGCAAGCATCGTCACCGTCAGCAACAACGTAGCCGTGCTTTTATAGACAATTACTTGTACCGCATGATTATATTTGGCCATGTGATGCCGATTATACAGTCATATAGTTTTGGGGCTCGATAATACCGCATATTTTTATATACGTTTGGCATAATTTCTATACGGTATCCCCGTTATTAAATACATATAATATACATTTATAATTTTATGCTTTGCACGTTGTAGAGTCCGCGGCATATATAATAAATGGATCGTTTTTATTGTTATGTGTACAAGTAGAAAAACCGAAAAATCGATGATCTACTCAGTTTGTATGTGCATTGCATCTCATGCCAATAACCCAATTACATCATTTTCTGCCGCTTACACATAAAATTGTATACACGTGTATTTTCAAAGCATGAATAGAAGCTTTGATGGTTGACCGAGAGATACTTGTGATGAACAAAAAAGGTTAAAAAATTAATTAATCCAATTAAAGATAGTAGTAGCGCGTCTGTCTAGGCTGTAATAATTATATCTTTGGCGTGTCGCAATACATGCGTGATTGACGAGATGTGTAAGAAAAAAGAGCAACAAAACAAAAAAGCATGGCTCGATCGATATTATAAGTAGTGCTCGTCGCTGTTACAATACATGTATAGATACATGACATACAATACATGACTGCGGTGTGTGAAAAATGCCATGTATATTTTTATTGTACACGCTATTTTTTTTTTTTTTTTTTTCGCAGCTCTGCTGTACATGTTTGTGCTTTGAAAACAATATATAATTCAGAGCATGATTTATACTGAACACGAGAAACTGGCAGTTTTACCAGTGCCTCGAGGCGTATATTATGTGCATATTAGTCCTTAGAAAAATATATATGAGCCAAGCGATCGAGACTCGCATCGAAACCCCCTTTGATTTTACTATTATTCCTCATTTGATTGAAAAAAAAAAAAAAAAAAAAATACACATGACCCATCCGTAGGAAGGAGACGAAGGGGACTCTGAAAAGTTCTCGAGCCTGCCTCTGGCGAGTTTCAACTTCATCAACTCCATAATCGGCAGCGGCGTGATCGGTATTGTATTCATAAAGCCTTGAATCCTTACGTATATCCACATACCCAAAGGGTTTAAGTACTAAGATGTTTATTTTTTTTTTACTCGCAGGTATACCCTACGCCCTCCATCAAGCTGGTTTTGGTCTCGGGATGATGTTGCTGGTCCTCGTGGCCGTTTTAACCGACTACTCGCTGATCCTGATGGTCCGTAGCGGACACCTCTGCGGCGAAATGAGCTACCAGGGCCTCATGCGACACGCCTTCGGCCGACCGGGCTTTTACATCCTCACCGCACTCCAGTTCATCTACCCATTCGTCGGTACGACAAACGACCCTTTTTTTTTTTTTTTTTTTTTTCTTCCTCATTTAACAATAATATATACCCATGTGTGTCTTAGCGATGGTGTCGTACAACGTCGTGGTGGGCGACACCGTGACAAAGGTACTGATACGCGTGACTGGCCTCGACAAGGACAGCTTCCTCGTGAGGCGCGAACTGGTCATCCTCCTGTCGACCCTGCTCATCGTCATACCGCTCTGTCTCTACAAGAACGTCGCCCGCCTCGCCAAAATCTCCTTCCTCTCGCTCGTCTGCGTTGGCTTCATCCTCTTCGCCATATTCGTGCGGATGGGCTCCATGTCGGCTATCGTGTGAGTCTCCCATAAATCGGTCTATCCACGTGTCGATACAATTATTATTAATACATACATACGTGTGTGTATATATACGTGTACAGGCCGAGCCACGGGGACAGCTGGAGCTTCGGGCACATCGGGGGAGTCGTCCCTGCCGTCGGGATAATGGCGTTCGCGTTCATGTGCCACCACAACACCTTTCTGATCTACAGCTCGATCGAGCACGCGACCCAGAAAAAGTGGGACGTGGTGACCCACTGGTCGCTGTTCACCTCGTTCCTCGTGGCCGCGGCCTTTGGTATCGCTGGCTACGCGACTTTCACCAGCTTCGTTCAGGGCGACCTCATGGAGAACTACTGCTGGGACGACGACCTCATGAACTTTTCGCGGCTCATGTTCAGCGGCACCATCCTCCTGACCTTCCCGATCGAGTGCTTCGTCACCCGCGAGGTGAGCCACAAAGTGAGCCATCCCAATGTTGTTCATTGTCATTTGACGCGTTGGTTTTATACAGGTCATTATGACCGCGGTGCGGGGTACCGACGAGGTGGAGAACCACGACGCGTACATCGCGGGCTCGGATCGCAAGTACCTGGCCATCACGCTCGGCATCATCGGACTGGCCTACCTCATCTCCATGTCTACCGACTGTCTGGGCATCGTCCTCGAGCTGAACGGGATACTCGCTGCGGTGCCGCTGGCCTACGTTCTCCCGGCTCTCTGTTACCTGAGGCTCGAGGAGGGTCCGGTGCTGTCGCGGCTCAAGCTCCCGGCTCTAGGGCTCCTCGTTGCAGGTGTCTTTGCCGCTGCCTCGGGTCTCCTTCTCCTTCTGTTTGACGAGTCAGCATCGGCCTCCTGTGCCCACGGGGGTGTCATGTTTTACTGCGAGAAGCGCCAACGCGACAGTGACCCCGCGAGTTTTACCACCATTGTTAACGCCACCGTGACGTCGCTGCTCTCCAGTTAAGGGACACCCTCGACCCTGTAAGTTGTATGCGTGACTTGCACCAGGTATGCACTTTCGCGAGACCGAAACGTACGACGGCCAAAATACATAAACCAATGAGCCAAGCACTCGTGAATTTCGTGAGGTTTTTTCGCTCATAGCGTACGGAGGATATACCGGAGGCTTGATCTTGCATCGCTATAGTTTCAAAGTACGTGAAAGGAGCGCAGAATCAAAGAGAATCGTACATTTTTTTTCGCAATAAACAAAAAAAAAAAACAGCATTGCTAGCGATGATTAGGTGCTAATATTGTCTCTGTGTAGGGATTTTTTCCGCTAATCCTTCCGTAGGAGCGCATATCGTGTATATAAGGATAATACAAACGTGTGCGATCGCTTTTTGCTTGTTTATTTACGTTTGTAAAAAAAAAAAAAAAAAAAAAAAAAAAAAACAAAANTCTGAGTAAAATGGATTTCACTACTTTCATGCTGACATTTCCTCATTTAGGGTGATACTGTCACCTCTGACGAGTGAGTTTTTACTTTAAAATTGGGGTGACAATTAGTATTAGGTTTAAAGTTTCCCATAACATTATTGAAATTCAAAGTAAAGACAAGTAATGATAAGTAAAAATTAGTAAAGATTATTAAAGATTTGTAAAGATAAATGAAAATGAATGGTGATGTAGGTAGGGATAAAGAACCTTATGGTAAGTGAAGAATAGTAAAGATAAATGAAAGCTGTGCCAGAGAAATAAATATTTGAGAAAAAAAATTAAACGACTTGCAATATTGCTACTGTACTTGGATATATTATACTTTTGAATATTTCTTATACACAATACATAATAACATATAGACTTAAACAACAACAATCAAGTTCCTTTATTACGAGACGTGAGGGATTCTTATGATATATGATACAGTTATTTTGTTTAAGTGAACAAATCTGACCATCATAATTTTTGCAGAAAATTTAAATGACACTAGAATGACAAATAGATAAAGTGATAAAATCTTTATTATCTTGACTCAATGTAGGCACTACTATGATAACGATACGAAATTTTATGCGACTTCTATTACGTAAAAAGCTTGCAAACTAAGCATAGCGCAAAAGTAGCAAAATAAAAATAGATACTCAGATTTGATATATTACTGAAGATTTTATGTGATCAAAATTAATTATGAGTTACGGACGTACCAGTAGTTTTTAAGATATTGAAAAAAAAGTATATTGTAAAAAACCTATATAGATAATTTTGTGGGTGACAATATTCGTCGTGTCAAAGGTATCGATATTTTTAAAGGGCTTTTGTTAATTTACAAAATAATAAAAAAAATAGGTTTACATCAACATTTGCCATTTTTAGAATAGGTAATTGTTTTCACCTAAAAGAGTCTAGTGGAGAGGCCGCATAATTTATGGCGATGAAAAGAAAGTCCAGTAATTTTATGAACGTAATAGTGAGTGAAAGTAATGAAATCTGTTGATCGTAAAGAAACGCTGTATGGAATATTAACTTTGAGGCATTATTTTTCGGGGCTTGCAATTCTTTAGAAAATATAACAAAATTTTCGATGTAATAATATAATTATATTCTCGGTTTACACTTAGCAAAGTCCTCCAACAATAACTTGACCAAGTAAAAACTATTTTTCTGCATAATGCATTCCACTATGGAAAATGAAATGGATGAATAATAAATTACTTTATCGAAATAACATAGTATAGTATAATAATGTATGTAAGAAAAAATATTTAAAATGCGAAATATCTAATTTTAGAGAAAGTTTTGAGATTGTGGAATATGTGACCAGGCATTGAAAGTACTTAATAGCACAAATAAGAAAGCTATTTACAAAAATTTCTTTTTGCGATCTTTAAAAAGTCTAAATAGTCACGTAGAACGATTCTAATTAGTTTAAAATCTTCATTTTTTTAATATGAATGTACAAATATTTTATATATTTTTTTTATACATCATAAACTTCTTTTATAAATATGTTTCCGGAACTGATTATATCAATATTTTTACTGTCATTATCGAAATATTTTTTGCGCTCAAGCCTTACTAAAGAAAGTTAACAAACAATCAAATAAATGTAATTAGACCAAAAAAACGTGGCAACAACGTTCCTCAAGGAAACTTAAATAAATTATTTTTGTGAGTAATTAAAAAGTTACAGAGGTGTGAAATTATTCCTGTATTTTATAAATACATACATACTGCGAACTTAAAAAATTTAACTGATGTTATGATGTGTTATTAAATAGACTCACATGTATTAAAAATCAATGTGAATTTGGATATCAATATGAATTTTTTTTATTTTTCGATCCACCAAGTATAGTAAGGAAGCTCGTGCAAATACCAAGTAGGTCATAGAAAATTGATTACCATACAAAACATAAATTTGAATGTAAATAAATAATTTATCGGCCTAATAAAATGTGTAAAAAAAAAAAAAAGAAAAAAGCAAAGGTAACGGTACGGTACAGATTTTTCTTCTGAAGATACCTATCTGAAACCGAGCAAGATATAAACAAATAACAGTATTTTTAAGCTCCCTAATTATTCCTAGTAGACTTTCGACATGTTGAGTTTCTCAGTTGAGCTTAGGATCTTTTTAATTAAACAGTCAAATTGTTTGGGATTGAAAACTCAATGATTGTGGACTGTATGATTTGATTTACTGGTTGCGAGGGACAAGAGTGGGAGCCAAATTTGATGTTGAACACAAATCTTGGAGTTTTAATTAAAATTGCGATTCACAAGCATATGAGACGTTGTATGGAGCATCTTTGAGGAAAATATTTAAAATCGAATAATTCGCAGAGATTCTTATTGTTACATAAAATTAAATGTAAATGTCAACAAATAATGTAATGCATGTGAGTCTAATTATATACATATATACATATTTTTATGTATAAATAATTTACACAGATTAATGTGTGGATGAAAGTACATAAATATTAATGCTTTTGTTTTACGTCGTAAAAACAAATATATAAATATACCATAATGAATGTTGAATGAGAAAGAACTTGGAACAAAGAGTATACATACAATAAAAGCCTACTATACGAAAAAGTTAAAAAATAAACAATTTAATGCATAAAAATCTATAATAATTGAAACGAATGGCGAGACCATTTTTTTTACTCTGTGATAGTTTATCTGAATTCAAGCGAATGATGAGTCGATGTTATCTCATTACACTATGTGTAATCAATGTGTAAATAATAAATTGACCGAAAATAAACCAAATCTGCTGATTATTTTTTATCGAAGGAAACGTCTTCAAGACATAAATATACGACAAAAAATATGATCAGTCTGTATTTTATCAATCGGTAAGTAATATAATACATCCTGTATGAATTTATCATTACTAATATTTCTTGCCTTAGATATATAATTACCTTATTGTTGGTATTAACTGCAATTCAACTACTAACGTCAATCTTTGCTTGGGCGAAGTGTATATTTACATGGGTCATTCCCGCCCACCTATGTGTAATGTAACATTGAAAAAATGGGCTATCCTATGTTTAGGATTTAAAATACGTAAATGGACAAAAATGATGAATTGATAAAAAGATGGAATAACACCTGTGACGTCACATAAGTGTCGAACGGCACAATATATTATACCTACGCTTGGCTCTGCTTTGGCCATTTAATAATATTTTGTGTGGAATCGCAACTTACGGAATTTGTTGATGAAATGGCGTTATAAAATTTGTTCTTTCTTTACTTTATAAATTTTTTTTTTTTTTTTTTTTTTTTTTTTCGCAGCTCTGCTGTACATGTTTGTGCTTTGAAAACAATATATAATTCAGAGCATGATTTATACTGAACACGAGAAACTGGCAGTTTTACCAGTGCCTCGAGGCGTATATTATGTGCATATTAGTCCTTAGAAAAATATAGNACTTTTACCCTCATCCGTATGTCTCACGTGACGTTATGTTTCTTTATTATGTTTATTTTATATTTTTTTTCATAGCCATTCCGACGTTCTGTGCGTGTAACGGTTGTAAGTATATTGCCGTCAATGTATAGCAAAAAACCACGTGAATCAATAACTTACCCAGCAATGGGGACATTTTATTTTACGTATGGCTTTCGTACACATCATAAGTATAACCATGTACGGCTCAACATTAAGTATATGTGGAGAATTAATTTCTCAAAGTTGTTTCACGTAAAACGGCAGTTGAATTTACTGATATTTCCCGTTATTTAGGATATTATGATATTTAAGATTTTTTTTTTTTTTTTTTTTTTTATGTACCAAAGGTAAGTAACGTAACAAAAATTATTAAGAATAAATTTTTCGATAATCAAAATTTTGTATGCGACGTTCACACCCTGAAAGATCCATGTGTGTATACCGTCAACTCGTCAAGTCAACTTCACTCACTGCGTAAAAGTTGAACAAGCATATAGGTACACACACATACATGCAAATGCCCACAAACATATATAACAGCAGCAGCAGCAAGACCGTAACTCCGTAAACCGTATAAACTTCTCAGTCTCTTCACTTGAGCAGAGCGGAGTGGTACACCATCGTGGCCTTGTGCCGTCGTGCGGAGGTGCTTCGATAGTGAAAAAAAAAAAAAAAAAAATGGCAGTACAACATTTCGGACCCTTAACCAAGCTATCTGATATCTTGGGCACCTCGCCGGATGCACTTGGACTTTTTATTTCAATTCTCTTAGGTAATAATATCAAATTATATACATATACTCATATAACCACCCATCTATACCTGATCATGAAATATAATACCTCTCATGCTTGCAATCTGCAATGCGTTTGCGATGCTGCAGTTTTAGTTGTACCTTATACTTATCGTATCTCCGTCATGTTGACGATGACAAGCAAATTGTTGATTATATTCACGATGGCTATTTTATTGTATTTCGAAACTTTCCATTTCATTCTCACCACGTCAAGGTTATGTGTGTTGAGTTGGAACATATTTTTTTTTAATTCTTTGTTAAATACTACTTACTTCATCACTTAACATTTTAATTCCCGTTGAGTGGTACAAGGTGTAATTTGACGGTACGTATCTATATTCTTCTTTTAAAAAAAACTACTGCCGCATTGACGAATAAAATTCAAAAGAGTGTGGTAAGAACCGAGGGTTACTGTATTTTTATTGTTATGCAATGTATATATTGTACTTACTCGATCAGAAGTATTCGATTAACATGTATTTATACTCCACCAATCGACAAATGTTCCCTTTTAAAACTTTATTCATTATCGTCATGAATTATTTACTATATCGTGCATAAAAATAAAAATCTTAGATTTGTTTCTCTTAAATATAACTATTTGTCCAATCGTGTCAAACTGCTGTCCATTTTTAAAACTATTCAGAATTACGATACTTAACAAATAGCAACAGCCATACGTGGATGTACTTACACTAACTTATATTAATACAGATAAGCACGTGTGGTCAGTGGTCAATGCTCCGCTTTGACTGACAATCATGCGTGAAAGTAAGAAATTTTCCGTTAAGTGCAACGTATTTCCTGAAATTTTTTTTCAGGTTGAACTTAATAACAATTTTCAAATTAATGTATCCAATTGCATAATAGCTGTCCTACATTAGTAGTGTGACATAGTTGTATTTAAATATTTATGTATGAGTCGTGCATGCTTAGGTGTCACAAAAGAAAATTGTGATCCACGCAATGCATATTTACAATTACGTCATGATGACCATTGACCAAACAATATATGTATGAGCGATATATATGTGCTCTAGTAAAATATCAACAAATAATTAGAAGACTGTTGTGTTATTCTGATATTTAAAATTCACGAGAATTAACGTACCGTGTTCTATTTGCAGGTTTTCCAGTCGCACTACTTCACAGAAAATACTTTTTTGGGAAAAACCCACAGTACCAACATTATTTCTTTACTGCCTGTGGTTTTGTAATTGGTTTTTTGAATTATGGTAATTTCAAAAATAATTTTTTTTTAACCATTCTAACAAATTTTTTCAAGTATTTCTTATCTAAAAAAACTATTTAATTTTTTAAATTGAAAAGTAATTTTATTATACCCATCTTATTTAACTCGAGCTGTCTTCTTTGTTGAATAAAAAATTTCTAAAGTTAACAGACCATATATGTTTTTTGCCATTTAGATTGGAATATTCTACACTCGTTAGCAGCTTTGCTTGGCACATATTTAGTACTGAAATTATATGGAGGCACGTCAAAGTCAGTTATAATATGTTTCATATATAATCTTGGCTATTTACTAGTGGGTAAATATCAATTTATTCTTTTAGCGCATGTACATGAATTTTAAATTATTTCCCAACAACCAACTAAAATAGTATTGATTGTTTTTCAGGTTATTACACAACAGCCACTGATGATTACGACATTAAATGGACTTTGCCGCAGTGTGTGCTAACTTTAAGGCTCATTGGTCTTGCCTTTGATGTATTTGATGGCAGACAGCCAGAGGTTTAAACTCTTTTATAATATGTATTACGTATTGAAGATTTCGAATTTTGCAAATGATTTAATGTCATCAAATGTTGTTGCAGAACAAAAAGCCGATGGCCTTACATCAGTGTCCATCTTTGCTAGAAGTTGCCGCTTATACCTATTTTCCTGGCTCATTTTTAGTTGGCCCTCAATTTAGCATGAAACGATATTTGGACTATGTCAATGGAAAGCTTGTAGAGACAGTGAGTCATTTGTTACCATTTTTTTATCTCGCAATTGTAGTGTGCAATGATGGTTGTTCAATTGAAAACAATGTTTGGTAGGAAGCAGATAGTGAGGGCCGAAAAATAGCGCCAAATTCCTTGCTGCCTGGCATAAAGCGAGCCTCACTTGGTTTCCTTTATATATTCATGTATCAAGTCGGAAGGTATTACGTATCTGACCAGTACTTGCTAAGCTCAGAGTTCGATAATTTGGGATTTTTGAAGCGCTGTTTTCTTGTTGGGCTCTGGGCAAGGTGCAATCTGTACAAGTACATCAGCTGCTGGCTTATTGCGGAGGGGGTATGGATAAACATTTTTCAGACGCATCTCATTGCCTAGAGTTAACTTTTTAATTTCTCTTGAACCAACTGGCTATTTTTTACGTACAGGTGTGCATTGCTTTTGGTTTGACGTATAATGGCAAAGACAATAATGGCAAAGATAAATGGGATGGCTGTGCTAATGTTGAACTCATTACTTTCGAAAATGCAACAGAGTTCAATCATTACATTTTGTCGTTCAACGTTAATACTAATCACTGGGCTGCCGAATACATATACAAGAGGTGTAAGTTCCTTGGCTCAAAGCTTTACAGTCAATTAGCAACTTTGATCTTCCTCGCCATCTGGCACGGTTTTCATAGTGGATACTATGCTTGCTTCTTCATGGAATTTATCATTATGTATTTTGAAAAAGACGTAAGTATCATTTGCATTAATCAAATTTACATTTTTAGCACACATTTAACAAATGTCGTATTTGACTACCTTTTTGCAGTTGAAACCTGTGTTGCTGAAGCATAGCAAACTACAGTATCTCATAAAAGAGAGCTTCCTGTTTCGAATTTTGGTCTGGTCAGTCCTTAAAGTTTACACGTTCGTCTTTATGGGTTATAGTATGATTTCTTTTATTCTTCTATCTTATTCGCGTTACATGAAAGTATACTCTAGTTTTTACTTTATGGGACACATCATTTTTCTATCTTATCCGATATTTGCACCTTTTATAAAAAAGGCACTAATGCCTCAGAGAAGCGAGCGAGAACATACTGATTAATAGTGAAATAGGCTTAACAGACGTTGTTTTCTTGTACAAAGTAATATTTATAGATTTGTTTGCTTCCTTGATAGCGGTTCAAACGATATTTCAGTAATATTTTTTGGCTTCCTAATGATTCTACATTAACTCGTAACATGGTCCGTTCCCCATTTTTTTTCTTTCACGATAACTTTTTAATACACACTAATATGGGGTAAAAGATTTTTCCTCTTTACAGAAAAATCTTATAAATTCATAAATAAATAGAAAATCAATTGAAAGCATGTAATACTTGAAAAGAAGATATTTTTAAGAGAATTATTACAAATTCTATCAAAAGCGTTATATAGTAACTGTTATAATTTATAAATACCGCATAGAGCTCAAAGATTCAAAAACAATGAAGAATCAATTTTATTACACTAAATGAGGTAAGATTTTAAATACAATAAAAAGTATGGTAATAGACAAAACATTTTTGTAACACTAAAGAATGCTATGTTCGATAGAAAAAAATTTTTCTTTCACCTAATAAGAGTACATTCTGTTATAATGTAATTACTAAATTTTTTAGAATATGTGATTGTTCAATTGATTATTGCATTTTAGCTTGTGAAAATGTTTATAAGTTATTCCAATGGTGTGGTAAAGTTTTATTATAAAAAAGTGATAAAAATAGTAATGCTACTTTTTTTTATGTAAAAGCATGCTCAAATTAAAAAAAAAAAAAGTAGCAAGTACTACCAAGTATTTTTACACAATCTTTCTGCTTTAAATACGTACGAAAAATAACTAACACAATAACCATACAAGTAATTTTATAGCATAAATAAAACAGAGTTTTCAATTTGAAACAGTATTTTTTTTTTTAAATAGTTAATATACGTATACACCAGAGAAACAATTTTTAAATCGCTTAGTAATAATGTTGAAAAAATGAGTATCAGCGTTTTACAATTTTATATATTCTATATATGGAAGTAAAACAGAAACCACATAAATTCTAGTGCGTTGCCAAAGCAGCTATTTTTTATACATATTTGAAGATAAAAAAAATCTATGATAATTAACGATCACATGCGTACGATTTTAATTTTTCACCGTAAAGCACAATTTCTATAAATGAGAATGTATGCAATTAACGTTGCTTACCGAATACATCGTTAGGTTCGTCAAACAACCTAACATAGACCAATGAAAATTTGCTGTAAAAGATAAATAATTGTTGTTCATGATAAAGTCTGACGCATAAGATTTTAATTAATGTAAATAAACGTCAATAATGTGATAAAACAATACTGCATAAAATATTTGAAAGATAATAGATATATTGTATAGAAGATTTTTTCTTATAATCGTTGATTAAATGAATATTAAAAAAAAAAACAATTTGATGGTCGAGTAGGCGCTTGATGATTAATACATACTGACTCCGTCATGGTTATTAAAGACTGTTATAACTAAATTGAATAAAATTAAATTATATATATTACAAAAGATGGGCCTTCTTTATTCTTTTACCGAAACGCTCCTCCTACCCATGCAAAACCTTACCGATCAACAATTTTTGTTGTCGGTCTCTCAGATAATATTTAGCACCATTATACGTTCGTTATATTGCAAACACTTGTTGTAGAAAAAATAATATATGTATATCAGTAACGATTGTAAAAAACCTTGAAAACAACTCATGATTATATTTTTAAGTGTATACATTCTACCCACTTCTTGAATTATCACTTAAATACATGGAAAAATATACGTCTGTTTTTTATGCAGCTCTCGTACGCTTACCTCGTTGAGTAAATAATACAACTTTTAAATAAAATTTTATTTGCACAAAACGGTGCGGTCGATCTCTAGAAAATTTCAAGTGGTATAAATTTGGTCCCTTTCAGGTGAAAAACCTAAAATTACAAATTACTTCCGCAGGGATGAAAATAAAATGAAGAATCGGGTGCGGGAAAGGGTTTGAATACCAATATGTAAGACCGATGAGTCATGCACTGTAATTGCAAATTCCGGGCTTCACGCGTCATCCAACAAATAAGTAGCTGACACGCGTATGTATAATTTTTATTTTTTGTTTACCACTACCATGGTACACTCTGTTGCTCACCCACGCGGATATAATATGCAACAATTAACTCTGTAGCAGATAATACATCGCCTTTCCCAATCGCGGTGTGTTTATGTATACATGTATACTCTCATACTAGCTCTTTGTGCAAATCTGCTCTGATATACACGTATAAGTATATAGGTGGATGGTACCCCGTGGACTTTCACTGCGCGGAGGATGAAACTACTTCCCTTCCAGGCGTGCGTCTTTTGTTTCGTTTGGAAGCTCCTTCGAGCTAAATCTTGGATAATTAGCCGTACACGAGAGCAACAACCAAACGAGCCGCGCGCGAGAGATGTACCTCACAATATAACAACAAAGCCTTCTCCCTCCTTCTCATGCCCTCCTAATTTTTTTTTTTTTTTTTTTTCCCTGCAGATGGTGTACCTACCTACTTTCCTTGCCTTCTCCTCGTATTTTCATTATTTTCGAGAGCTGCAGTGTATACGTATAATGTACATACCTCATTACATCGGGGACCTACTTTTTTTCGGCGTTACGAGCAAACCCGTTTTAATTTCCGTTCCTCACTTTTACCCTCATCCGTATGTCTCACGTGACGTGTCGTCGTTGTTGCTGTTTTGTATACTGCACCGTGCAGTCATTATTATTATTTTTTATAACTTTTTTTTTTTTTTTTTTCTTTTCTTTTGTCATTAGCTTGGTTGAAAAATCTTGATTTGCACACGAATCGTTGGGTAGTTCATTTGTCAAAGCGCCGTCACACGATTTGTGCATCGTATAATATAGGAAGTCCATTGTATATATGGCAAGTGCAGTACACGTGTGAATTTAATATAATGATGAGGATGAGGGATAAAAAAGTACGTATGCACGTGTTATGTTTTACACAATAAGCCAACACCGTAATTGTAGAAAATCATAAAATATACATGTATTTCTCTCAGGATCTCTTGCTATTACAATAACACAACTAACTACAAACTGTTATGCTTTTGTTTTCTAATTGTTTTTTCTGGGTTTTTTTTTTTTTTTTTTTTTCTTTTACCACGTTGAAAATCACGTAATGTTTGTTTACGACGAACAGAAGCGACAATTATAGCGCGTGTGAATAAAAAAAAAAAAAAACGGCTTTACGATGCATTGTTTTTGTTCCTCATGCCGTCTTTATTTCGGAAGATTAACTTCTCTTTTGACGTTCCATCCAAACCCAAGACCGTAGTTACTATTTTTTCTCGATTTTTTACACAATTGCAGTGATCTCTTGCCAGTTTTTGATGAAGAAAAGCACACTACTCCGAAAATTGTGAAAAACGGAGCAATGTAAACAGAAAAAAAAACCGTACGCATAGTNGGCTATCGCGAAACTACACTGCACTGATGGCTCTCACCTGCGTCCGGTTCGAATACAGTTCTAATGGTCAAATGTATAATATATGATACTCGCTTACATCACGAAGGGATATACAAAAGGAGCTGCTGCAGACATTCTTCGCTTAAAGTAGGCGTGTGCAATAATTAATAAATGGCGAGTTTTCGTCAGCGGCGGGGAGCGCGATGTTTATTGCACGCGCGTGTACATATATATACGCATACACACTCGTATGCCCTGTTTTTAATCACCATCAGAGTTACATCTCGGCTGGAAAATTCCGGATCCCTTTCAATCATATTCCGCACGTGTATACGTATGGCTCGTTGTACATGAATAATGTTTTCACTTTTCTCCGCGGAAGTGCAGGGTATAACATATATACGCGCGCCCGAGCGAGCGAGAATTCGCAATCGCTCCGTTCCCGCGAGTCTACTTTTAATACAGTTTGTTAACCAACGGTGTGCATTTTGTAGGTACATGATTTTTACAATTTTATATATTCTATATATGGAAGTAAAACNATAATACCGAGTCTACTACAATAAAACGTACCCTTTTTTTTGATTTGAAAAAAAAAAGTAAAACATTATAATATTTGCTTCGGGGATTACAATCTAAGCTGGCGCTCCAAATCAGCTGATCATTCATTACGTAAATCGTCATTACTTATGTACCTCAATAACGTGAATCATAAGTGCGTAGCATTTCACTGACGTGCGTAATAGAAAAAGTTACCGTGATGAGATTAATTGAAATTGTTAACACGTTATATATACATTACAACAATGCATAACCGCACGATTTCCATATATATATTTGTGTAGGACGCCTCGCATTGTTGTGTTCCCGGGCCTAATGTGGGCCCCGTATGACATATCTCTTTGTCTCCTGTACGCCGCGTCGCTAGTAGGGCCCGTCGTTGTGGCTCGGGGGCCCGTAGTTGTCGATCGGCGTGCCGGGCGTGACGCTTGGTGGCCCGTAGGCGCCCTGTTGCTCCTTCTACATGTAAAAGGACAAAATATTACCTTTGTATGTTTTATGTATATAGGTGAGCGTAAGGGTGTGTCGATGTCACCCACCTGGGTCTTGTAGCGAATGAAGTAGACCTCGGGCTTGCTGGGCTGGGTCGGAGCCTGGGTGGGTATGACGATGTCGGGCTGTTCCTCGGGTTTCTTCACCAGCACGTAGATGAGGGTCTTTTCCTCGTCGGGCTGGGGCAAGGGCGGCAGGGCCGGGGCGGTCGGGGTCGGCGGCGTCGGGGCCTTTATGAACACTATCTTGTAGTGCTTTTGCGGGGGTGGGGGTGCGGGCACGTACTTCGGGGCCTTGTACTCCGGGGCCTCGGGCGGCGGCACGTGGACGTACACGTGCTTGTGGATCACGGGCTGCTGCTGCGGCGAGCCGTAAACGGGGGCCGGGTAACCACCGCCGCTCGAGTCGGACGGCGACGGGTAGTACGAGGAGGGCAGGGGTGCCTCGGGCCGCGCCACTGCCGCGCTTATGGCCACGGTAAGGATCTGCAAACGTCAATTTTTTTGGCTATATTATACATTTATATGCGCTATATCGTCATGTACAATGGTGATGCGTCGATTGTCCCTGAATCACACGCGCAAAATCAAAGTTGATTGACTGCGTGGATCGTATGCAGCTATACGAGGTATACTCACACACGTATGTTATACATGTATATAGTATAATCATACACGAATTAATTTAATAATAATCCGTCGTCTGGTTTTACATTACAATAACAAAAATATACATATCGATGTCGAAAACATATTTATATATACGTATTTAATCGATGCGCGAATTGGAAAGTTGAAAAACGTAAAGGTCCGCATCCGTTGAATGTACATAGGTATTACTCTTTGAGACGATACCCAAAAAAGTCGAGCTCGTTCCACTTTTGTTTTTCATTAAAAACGCCGTCATCGGCATTACATCGGAGAAACTCCGAAAAAAGCACGTATAGCGCGGGTAAATCGACTTTTGTCTTTTTATTTTCTCAATTCCATTTGCCCGCGAGGAAGTAAGTATAACGTGGCACTCGGGTGCAAGCGATGGGCTCCGATCGTGGCTCATTATTATTATTATTATTATTATTATTATTATTATTATTAACTCTTTGTTTGGCCGGGGCGAAGTGAAACGAGGCTCGGAGGTATACGCGCAACGCGAAAATTAAAGCGAGAAGAGGAGCAAGTATGCAGGTCGCACGTACGAATTTACTTATGGCGCACATTATACGTACATACATATAGTTATGTATAGGGACGATGAGATGTGAATTTAATTGAAGTCGATTAGATTGGGTAGGAATCGTGAGATCTGCAGTTATGGGTGTCGGTGATGAGGAGGGTATATAATACGTGGTTGCTTTCTCTGCGCTCTATGCTCACTCGTATACACGCGTGTATATTTATGTTTGTATGCCCATACCGCGAGAGACTAATCGCTTCCTAATTTCGCGCGCGTTAACGCTTTCGCGATTCCCTCGCTCGCCGCTAATGACACACGCGGTGCATCATGTACATATATCCATCCAGATTGTGAGACCAGACGCGAAATAAAGAAGAAAAAAAAAAAAAAGAAAAAGATGAGCGAATCTGGCTGGTCCCTCCACTACGTACATGTATGTACTTTGTCATGCGCGCAGCGCGAGAAAGAAGACGTGAGTTGCGATATGTGTGCGTTAAATCACGTATATCTATACGTGAGGTGGCCTAATGGTTTCCGGTGTAGAAAAGTAATGGGCTCGAGTGCACCCGTGCCGAAATATGACGGCATGCGGTGGACGAAACTAGACGCACTTTTTTCTCGGTATACCTATACTTACGATTGCGCAACACGCATTACACATGGAGCAGAGCACGTGTTATAATGACGGAACATATAAGTACACAAGGGATCATCAGGACTAAAGTCACGCACACCACATGCATATAATATATACGTATATGTACAGGTAAACATCGGAAAGTAAGCGCGCGCGCCTTGTGCGTCTAGCCGCAATTTTCAATTTCGATTTCAATTGCGCGCTCTCGATTTCGAGCATATACGCGTATAGTTGTATACGGTCACTGTGTGCATACCGATATTTTCCTCCCCCCACCCCTCCCCCTCGTGTATTGTTACGCGACGCGGACACCGCGATACCATGGTTATACATCCATACACATACAGCGCACGGCTAATTTCTTCCGGTTTGGCTATCCTGCACGTGTATAATGTGTCGGGCGCAAGACGAAACCGTTTCCTATGTATTTATACGTCGTGCGCGCTCTGCTGATCTATATATACCTTATTTTCACCATCCTCCTTGCACAACCTTTTTTTTTTTTTTTTTTTTTTTTTACGTTATTTTATACAGGATTTTTAGTTTATTCAAACTCAGATGTTAAAAGAGATACTAGATTTGGCAAAATATTCGCGATGCCGAGCAGTGCAGTGCCTAGCACTAATTCAAAAATTACGAATATTCCATATTTTGAAGANTATATATATATCTCATTGTTTCCTACAACAACAATAACAACCAAATTTTAATACAACTCGCTCACGGGCTCGTCGCTCAACTTTCTATATCGCGCGGAAACCCCGCGATCTTATTATGCAAAACGACGGTGTACCTGTACACACGTGCTTTTTATCGCGAAATAAAATACATTTACAAACACTGCGTGGCGATGCAAAATTTTTCGAGAGAAATTCACTTTGGATCGCGTCCAATTTTAGTTTCGAAAGAGCACACGCGCAAACTTTGCCCTTTTTTTTTTTTTTTTTTTTTTGTTAACACGTTATATATACATTACAACAATGCATAACCGCACGATTTCCAACATTGTACTCGGTGTTGTATATATAATAAGTACATACTTTCAATTTCGTCCATTTTTACGTAAGCGTAAAACATATTATAAAAAAAAAAAAAAAAAAAAAAAAATACTCAATGGAGATAAGAAAGGATTTACCGAAACGATTCGATCTGGTCGCGATTACGTAGAAAGCAAATTGTGGCGGAGCAAGTCGTCGCGGGGTTGATAGCGGATAGGAAACGACGCGAAATGCAATATTAATCGACCATCAAAATTCAAAAGACTGCACCGACGCAGTAGATTTCTAAAAAAACAAAAATCGCAGGAAATCGTTAAGCTCTCGGAGCAACTGGCTATAATTATCATCGTCGTAATTTGGGGGAAAAAAAAAAAAAAAAGTAAAGGTGTACACAAGCACAAACGAGTTGATCACAGAGCAGGTAAAATAATGGTTATCCCCGAGTTAATAGTTGTAAATATATACGCTCCGAGCTCGTGACTATATATATATATATACGCGAGTATACCGATACGTTCGGGCGAGCGCGCGCGTTTAACTTTCAAGTTCAAGATTGCTTCGAATGGACCTGTCTCTTTCGGTAAGTACATACCCCAACGGGCATTCACTTCTCGTGTGATTTTTTTCTTTTGTTCCCTTCTAACCGTCAAAGTCCAAACTCTCGAAATAAATAACCCACCAATCGTACAAATACCCGATCGATCGTATAACAACAACGCCACGGATAAACAGCGTGAGGCACTACTTACGATGAAAGCCTTCATTGCCGATAGTCCTTTGCACTAATTCGTGGTGTAAGTACCGAGGAAGAAATCGGCGGGCGGGAAACCGGAGTTTGGGAAAAATGAGCCGTGCTCGTGAAAAAAAAAAAAACCACTTGAAAAGCTTGCTCGGTCCAGCACAGTCCAGCGGCTGACTCGCGTATGCTCGCTCCACGGCTCCCATCCGGGCGCTTTTATATGGCGGGCGCTCCTCCTGCTACTCCCCGTCTGGCAGCGCCGAGCGGAAGGAGGTGGTGATCAGGTGCTCATTCTGTGTAGTGGTGGTGGTGGTTTGGTATACCGGGGTGCCGGCGCCGGCGCTCGGCGGCTTGCAAATACACACACACACATTACACGGGTCTCCCTTCATTCATATACACATACACGTATTATTATCATTATGTATACACGTCACGATCGCGCCTTACCTCCAGGGGTTCCTATGTACTCTAAATGAGTTCTCGTGCATCATCGTCATACGGGTGGAAAGGGATGAAGGGGTGGGGGAGGAGGAATAGGAGCAGGGGAAGCGCGACCACCTCCTATACGACGTATGCCCCTGTAACGGCACACCATACCGATCGGCGCTCGGATAAGCTACAAACTACAAGCACACGCGCGTACAGCCATCATCGTCACAATGCCACGGGGACCTGCAGGTGATTTTCCTTTGTACATACAATATATAGTAAAACACATACATTTAACACTTGACTTGCCTCATTCCCAGCTTGGATATGGCTGTGGCTGAGCTACATGCAGCTGCCAAATCGACGGAAAACGCGAGCGAACGAGGATGTCGCAAGAGCTCTCGAGCCAACGGGCTCGTTCTTACGCGCGACGAGCTGCTTGCCGATATATGTATACTTGTCTGCTGTCGGTTCTTCCGCTCTTGTTCCGCGTGCCTTTCGTCGTTAAGAGCCGATGGGAAAACAAAGAGTACTACTTACAGACCTGCAGCCGAGAAGGTAAGCCCATCACACGACTTCCTTATTTTGCATGTACATAATATATATATACACACAATCATATAGTTTATGGTATGGTTAGAAGGAACAAAATTTTCCTCGTACCTCCCCTATTTTCGCCGGGATGATTTTGCGAAACCTCGAATCGCCGATCTCCCAGTTTCGTGGATGCGTTTAACGAGCTATGCGGGGCATTGCACATCGCGCGCAAGAGATACAAGCCGCAGATACAAATATTACACGGCGCATATGCCGATAAATGCGCAAAAAAAAAGCAACGATAAATCTCGTCGGGCGAAAAAAGACTCGCGCGGCTATACATCGCCGAGTTTCATATAATACTTACGCGATGATAATGACGACGGAGGAGAGAAAAAAAAAAGAAAAAAGTTGGGCATTTTTAACGACTCTCGCACTCGAAATTTCGCAAATTATTAATCGCGCAATAACTCGTGTCGGGGATAGAGAGGGACCCGTGGCACCCGTCCATGTATACACCGATCCATCCCGCCGTGTGGGCATATTACATTATAATATACGCGGCACGCTTATTGCGACACGCGCGCGCGCGCGTCTTACCGGTCATACGTATACGTTATACGCCGAGCCAAGGGTAGCGTGAAATTGGTGACACTTGCGAGCGAGTTCATCACTGCCCGTCGTTTTTTTTTTTTTTCTTCTTCTCTTTTCCCCGAGTATACCGTATTAATAAGACACGGGTATGCCCGCATCTGAGTGTGTCGCTATTACATCCACATATGTATACTTGACCGATTGAAGGAAAAACCAACGCACCTGCAGTAATTACGCGTCCATTCGCACTTGGTCCTAAGCCAGATGGATTGCCTATACACATGTACTGTCCAACGTAATAATTAGCTGATGCTCGGGACGAGCACGTACTCGAGCATACGAATGCACGTGCCCCATTGAAAGTAAAAACCAATTGGTTTTTCACTTGCGCGCATCGGTTACGTAACACGGGAGGGGGGGGGACAAAAAAAAAGAGAGAGCCAACCAGATTTGGAGAGAAGAAATCGAGCACGCCAGGACTTTTTTATACACACACATTTATATGTAATACATTTAAGCGCGTTTTCGCCCTATTTTTAATATTTCTCTATTGTACCGAATATATATACGTATACTCATGTTTGTACGAAGGAAAAAAAAAAAAAAAGAGTGAGCTACATTATACCGGCAATTATTGTGTTTGAAAAATTTACGCAACTCCCGAGCTGCGTATACAGGTCGAGATTTTGAAATTTAGCCATTGTACACACAGCGTGTGTATGTGTATAGCCTCGTAAATCCAGGCTCGTTTTTCCAGCGCGACGCCATAGCCGAGGAGTCCGGAAAACGGCACCGAACTAAGCTATAAATAAACCGGGTGAAATTTTCAATACGCAGCGCGCATATTAACCCGCAGCGGGGAGGACTGCTGTATACTAATCTCGGATTAGCGCCGGCGCGTCCGCGCGTTACGCGAGAATCGTAAATAATAACACAGGCGGATCACGCGCGCCGCTGACGGATATAAATAATATATGTATATGGCCCCGTCGCGAAAAAATTTCGGCACTCGAGGTCCGCCCGAGGAAACCGAATGGCCTTGTCGCGTAATACCCACTTATTGCGCCCTGGTTTTTTTTTTTCTCTATTCTCTTTCAAACGATTCACCGATTTCTTGCCTCTTACGCCTGGTTACGTGTACATTGTTACGGGCTGTCTACCGCGTATGTACACCCGAAGATTGATGGCGGACGTACCGCGTTGCGTTACCGCGTGGACGACCGGGACTCATTTATTCGGTTTCTAACGATTTCGACGGGTGTATCGTGTTGTACACGCTACGGATGAAATCGGCGTCTGTCCACGCGCACTCGCGTCCAAAGGGGCGATGAGGAAATTTTTAAATCTTAACGGGCCCATCCTGCCGATTTTCCCCTTTTCCCGAGAAATCGTTTCCGAGGTTTAGGTAACCCCTCCGGTTGGATAAGCCTCCTCATTAGTACCTCAGTGTGTCATTTTAGCTAATGGAGCATATATGTATAGGAAAAAAAAATTACACGTACACCTATATTATATTTGGCAAAGGAATTTCGAAGAATGAGCGAAAGGAATCGGGACGAGCCGCGAGGTGAAACTGCGTGAGAGTCGATAAAATAAAAAAAAAAAAAAAAAAAACACAAGTATTTACGATCAAAACGACGAGTAGGAGGTGGCGGCCTTGTCCCTGAAACAGACACTCGGCAAAAGGACCTGGTTGATCCGATCCGGGGGCGTCCGCAAACTCCTCCCTCCCTCTCGATTTGTTTTTTTTTTTTTTTTTTTTTTTTTCGCAAACTTCTTGGTCGCGCGCGCGCACACAATCGTCTCATTGTACTCGCGGCGCGCGCTTTTACTTTTCCAAGCAAGTATTCCTCCGATGTGCCCGAACGAAATACCATCCCCCTTTTTCTCTCGGTTATAAAACCAAAGTATCGAAACTTCCGTCCGCGCCAAAAGGGAGCCTCGGCGGAAACCAATTTCGATCTTCGGACTCGGGTCATTTTTTTTTTTTTTTTTTTTCCGGCTGATCTGAAAAACTTTCACTTGCGTACACAAATTATACTTTTGCCGTACGGATGCCAAAAGAGCGTAACACTACGAGCGGGGGAGGGGGAAAATAAAGTCGAGTGAAAAGCCTCGGCTGGACGGGATACAAATTTGCTGCTGTTTCGAGGGCCATTTGCATACCGCGCTCCCGTGGACCGTAAATTCCGCGCTGAGGAAGCCTCTCGGATCGCGAAACTAGACGCGCTAGGGGACGGGGAAAATCGCGCGCGCCACCGATGGAAAAACCGATGACCGAGCGGTACCTCTTTGAAATCGAGAGGAAAAAAAAAGGTCCCTACCGAACCAGGGAAAGCGGAAGACTTGCTCGAATGGCCGTGCGGATGCTTTGGCTCGGAAACGACGGCATCGACAATTCAGTGGCGGGTATAAAAAAAAAACAAAAAGACTCGCTTTCGTTGCGAAACTCAGAAAGATCGGTAATAATAATACTCGCGCGCACGAGTAAAAAAGGAGAGCCGTGTGACCTTTGCGTTTGAGGGGGGGGGGGCTATTGCCGCTGATGATGACCGGTCGCAAGAGCTGCAAGTGAGCGGCAGGAGCCGATTTCACCTGCTGCATCTCAGCGGATAAGCAGAACAGAGGCAGGAGGGGATGCGTCCCTCTCTCTCTCGTGACGAGTCCTTGATTTCGAATTTGGTCGCGTCATTAAAATCGCCCGGCCGGTTGCGGGATAGCCGATGTCCCGTGTGCAGCTGCCGATCTCTCTGGCTCTGGTACTATATACACATTTATACGCGTACTCTCCATAAAAAAAAAAAAAGAAATAAAAAAAATAAATAAAAAAGGCTCGTATAATGGCACAGTGGGTACGTGGATACATGTACCTGCGTAAGTACGCACCGCGTGCAAGCGCCGCGACTGCTTCTCCCCGGCTCGCAGGACCCCATCGGGTGAAAGTCGGGCTAATTACGAAGCGTCGGTCGCTCTGCTGTATACACGCTCTTGCGAAAATTCAGCATATAATGTATACAAGTGTTGTACATATATACACATACATATTAAGCGTACATCCAGTCCCAGACGCTCACCATCATCATCAGCGAGAAAGAGAGAACAGTACGGCTCTCCGGAACTGGATTACGCGGCAAAGATGTGTAGCGCGCGCGATGCGTTGCTCTATTATATATATTATGGCGCAAGTTAAAAGTGCGTTCGTGGATACCGCGGAGCCGTATATAGCTCGAATATGAAGTAACTCATATACGTAAACCTACGGCAGAGCGTGAGAGGCCTGTGGGAAATAACAGAGTCGTTCCTCCACCTTTTTTTTTTTTTTTTTTTCTTTTTCTTCCTTTTTATTTGTTGTTTTCGTTACTCTCGTTCCTACAACGCCGCGACCTCCATCTAATGCACGCTTTTTTTCTCTCTCTCTCGCGCTTTTGATCCTTGATTCAGCGCTCGACTCTGTGGTGCACTATATATTTATATACGCGTCATCGATATGTGGCCCATCGCGAGTGTGGCGCAATACTCGGTGGGTGCTTACAAACTCCCGTAGTGTGAAATAGGCTCCGAGAAAAACGCAGAGCCCT